CCTGCTGATACATGCGAATATAAATCTCAACATTAATAAGCAGGTACTACCAGTCTTAACCTCTGCACAAAATGCACTTTAGGTTTTGTTCTCCAATATTGTCAAAGAAACCTTCTTTGCTGCTGGCCCTGACAGTCTGCCCAGTGCCAAGGTCACTGTCAAAAATGTGCTAAGATTTCTAGCATTTCATTCACAGTAAGACCTTAACTTGAGCATTTCCTCTGTCAAGCATTCTCCTATTGCATTTACTACAGAACAGGATTTCCCTAAACCACAGTGGAATCTATGTCCCCATTTTTATGGTCTATTAATGTGCACATTTACATCCCTCCTTTTCCCCCCTCCTTTTCACCTTGTTCTGATCAGACATATTTACAATAATATGGAGTAAGAACTATATTTACAATGTAATTAAACTTCAGCGCACATGACAGCAAGCAAACACATTTTGAGCTGTCCTGCAAACTCACAGACTAAACAAATTTTCCTGATTCTGAGTAGTTCAACAAAATACTATTTTACATGCACATATTGCTATTCCACAGCGAAAAGAAATTAATATTGCTTAGTCTAAGGCTGAACGAAAGACAACAATAAGTGTCTTTCACAGCACAAAGTGATTTACAGTGTTTGCAAAAATATTTTTTCTGTTTTAGAAAAAAAAGAGCGTGTTCATAACCAAACATCTAAATTTACCCATTGTGCCCAACAGTCTTGATAGCTCCAAGAAGAGTCTGCAGGTACTCAATAATTTCCCTCTGTCTTCCTGAAGAGATAAGATGTCTATTGTAGTTTAAGATATACACCACAGCATTGTGAACAATCCAAGCTTCATTCAATTCTTCTCCTATTTTGGCTGCACGTTGGAAGTTTTCCATAGCATACTGAGATAAGCAGTCTACCCATAAACTATAAAGTTAATATAAAGAAGCTGTTATTCCAAAACTTCAACTCTAAGAACTACATCATAAGGTTAAATATGCAGTAGTACATCTTAATCAACAACAACAACAAAAATATAATTACTTTTCAGCTGCAGTTATTAAGTCTTTCTCCATTAAATTATATTTTACTCGGATAAGATGACGACGCAGGAAAAGAATTAGAATCAACATAAATTGAATAGTCTCTGACACTCAAATGCTATCAGCTCAAAAAGAAGTGGCTATAGTTCATGCTTCATCCACACAGGTTTCTTAAAATGCATGTGTGAATCCACATAAAAGTGCTAGAAATCATTAAATATCCATGACAGGGCTCAATATGAATACAGACACAAGTAAGGCATTCCACTCAAGAGTTAGGGTGTGTTTTTCATTTAGTAACTGCATGTGTTCTTGCACTCAAAAGGTATCTCCAGATGTTCTGAAATGCTAAATTAATTTTTAATAGAATAACATATTTTTCATAGTCTGTGCAACAACTTTCTTTCCAGTGATTTTTTTTTTAAAATTATTCTTAAGATGTACCCTTATTTATAGAATCATAGAATGGTTTGGGTTGGAAAGGACCTTAAGATCATCTAGTTCCAACCCCTCTGCCATGGGCAGGACACCTTGCACCAAATCACGTTGCCCGCGGCTCTGTCCAACCTGGCCTTGAAAGTCCTGAATGGAGAGACTCTGGACCTGAGAAAGGATGACACTGATTAGCAATACGTGTTGTGCTGAGTGGTTTGGTCTCCACATGCTCTGCTAACACTTGGTGTGCCCAGTCTGTCTGAGCCCAGAAGTTCATCCTACGTGTGTGCTATGGCTGCTTGAAAGCAGTTTAGCAACAGAAGTATCTAAGTGCTGGGACTCTTGCTCAAACTATTTCATGGCCAGATCTTTATAAAACACCCCTTCCAACCCTCATATGGACTGGGACTCCAAAACACAGTCTACAGAAATAGCTTCCTCACCCACACTCCTGAACTTACAGCAGTACTTAGAAAAAGCAATATTAAAAACTACAGTCTCAAATGACCATACAGAATTGTCATGGTTGACTCACAAAATCAAAAGCACAAACTGGCACAAGTTATTACTATGTCAACAATGGTACAGGACACATTAGACCAAAGTGGTTTTCTCCTATAGGTTTTTAATCTAATTGGGTAAGCCCCAAACCAGCTTAGTAGCAAATTTTGAAAGACAATCCTCATCATCTTTGTCCCTTGGTTCTGATAAGTTTATATTTTTTCCCCATTTGACTAAACATTTGCAAGCAGACAGTGTGAAAAACTTTACTCAGTCTTCAGACCTAATGAACAGACTCAGGAACACAACTCTGACATCCAACTCTTTCAGGACATGACCACTATCACAGTAAGGCTAATATTAGCATGAATGTGCACAGAAGAGAGTTCAAACGTCACCTTCAGAATTCTCCTCCATCTCCTCCTTTGCAAGAAATGATCATGTGAAAAAAACCCCTGATACTTGCTATGTTCTACTCTCCCTTATTCATTTCAGTTGATGTGACAGAATAGACTGGTTTTGCAATTCATTCTATGTATTCAGATACTCAGAAATCTCATAGTTATAGGAACTATAAAGCAAGACAAAACAGGGTTTGATTTGGGAAATATAGTTTTAAATATAGAATATAATGGTCTTAAATGTTAATATAACACAGATTTAACAGTTTTTAAGGTTGGGATACTAATTTCAAAGAAATAAATGTTAAGCAAAAAATAAAATGCACACTCCTGAATGAAAGCAATCTAAAGAAAACTATCTCAAACAATTTCTTTAGATTCTTATCCTTTTCCCATTACCTCAACTACTTACAAAAATGAAGCATCTGGTGACAAGGAATTTTACTAAGAAGAAATAACTTCTGCAATTATCATCTGAATGTGATAATAACAATCTGTTAGAGTTCTTAGGTCTTTTTACATATTAAAGAAAAGCACCTGTATGTTTTCCATTCTAGATCACTTTCCGAAAGACGTGAAACATATCCTGGACGACACTGACTTGTATCTTCTGGAGGTACAGCATGATTGTTCAGTTCAATTCCCTGCAATCTTAATAAATGAACAGTTGCCTGAAAAGATACAGAGAAACACATTTTGTATTCAGGTTATCATTGTGAAAATAGGCTGTGACTTAGTATCTGTGTTGTTGTCTCTTCAAAAATCAGAAAATACAAAATGCTTCTTCAGATGGTGTACAGGCATGTACAACTGCATGGAACACAATATAAAATATTTCATAATCTTCCAGTTGTCTGTAGATAATTCTACTAAATAATTTAATTTTGAAATTACATATATATTTTTAACCATGCTCGAAATTAAGGATCAGAAATGTCATCATAACACTTATAGTAGAATCCCTTGTAAAAATGTATTATCACCATCTGCACTGACTATATCTATAGTTACTTTTACACAGTATTTTGATAAAGATGCTTCATGAAACAACTTCTTCCTTTAGTTCCTGTGGAGATAGACAATAATTAAACTGAAAATTTCAGTGCTTTAAGATTTATACATAAAATTATACATAAAACATCGCTAAATAAAACAAATACAAATGACAGCTGTGCAATTTATTTACCTCTGCATTAATGAACCTTATTTCTGCTAATATTCTGAGTAAATCCCTTTCAAAAGAGAAGGCTTTAGCGGTTAGTAATGATTCTCCTGGTAAGCTGTCACCGTGACCATCATCCATCACAGCTGTAGTAGCTTTCTTCTTCTGTGCTAAAACTAAAAAGACAGAATTCTTTTATTATTACCAGGCAAATCAGAAAAAAAATCACCTTCATTTTAAAATGTAAAAATTCCTCCATGTTCTTAAATCCTCAAGAGTTAACAAGTACAGATTTGAAATTGTTTCATTCACTATTTTTTCATCAATTTATTGCACTGAAACCCCATTCTTCTCAAGCAGCGCTGAGGTATCAGTTACCTGTGACATTGCTGCATTTGTGCATCAACTTCAAAATTTTGCAGCAAATAACTTGCTCCAGTTATAGCATAAGTACTAGATTACATTAATATGAATATAATTCAGGGCCTCTAGTTCAATTTCATTGCATCAATGAAAGGGAAGCTGTCATGGTTTAAGCCCAGTCAGTAACTCGGAACCACGCAGCCACTCACTCACTCCTCCCTTTTTCCTTCCCCTACTCCCAGAGGGATGGGGAGGAGAATCAAAAGAACCTAACTCCCATGGGCCGACACAAGAACAGCCCGGTAACTAAGGTATAATACAAACCACTATTGCTACAACCAATAACAATAATGATAAGAGGAATAACAGGGGAGAGGACACAACCGCTCACCACCCACCGACTGATACCCAGCCCGACCTGAGCAGCGATCTGGGCCTCCCGGGTGACTCCCCCCAGTTTCTATACTGGGCATGACGTGCTGTGGTGTGGAATAGCCCTTTGGCCAGTTGGGGTCAGGTGTCCTGCCTCTGCTTCCTCCCGGCTTCCCCTCCTCCCTGGCAGAGCATGAGACTGAGAAAGTCCTTGCTCAGAGTAAACATTACTGAGCAACAACTAAAACCATCGGTGTTATCAGCGTTGTTCCCAGGCTGAAAGTCAAAAACACAGCACTGCACCAGCTACTAAGAAGAGGAAACAATGACTGCTGTAGCTGAACCGTGACCATTATGGAGTGGCTAAAATCTCACTTTTTAAAAATCATGGATAGGGTTGACTTTCTGGCCATGTACACATCAACAGAGAGAAAAATAGCATTATTTTTATTTTGGTTTAATAATCAAGAGAAAAGACCAGAACCGTTTTGATATAAACACAAAGTAAGAGCATAAAAGCTGTCACAGTGGGTTTCCTCTACATTGTTGGCCAATGGTGGGTGTTTTTGGAAAAGTAGGACACACAAAGCTATTTTTATTCCTGGCCTATCTTCACAGTTTTTCAGAATCTGCATCCAACCTGAACCAGAGCTTCTGTTCGACCATCGAGTTCAATACTCTTTGATAAATCTTTTTTCCCTAATTTTTTAACCATACTTCAATATTCCAAAATAACCTTCTAATTTCTGTTAAAAATTAATGCTCTTGTTTTCTTAAAATCTCCAGTCTGATAATTTGAGTGGATTGCTCCTGGTGCCTAGACCAATCACACGTATTTAACTTCTCCAGACAAGCCATGTTTCGTCTTTCATCTCTTTTCCAAGCTAACGGGATAAAGAAGTACTTACCAGAAACTCAAGGCAACCATGTACCCACCATCATTAATAGGAACTGGTATGTTATTTTTCTCTAGCTCTAGAACATCTTGAATTAGTTGCCTTTGTTCAGGCCTAACAACCCAGCAATCCTCTGTACAGGGTCTTCATAATACAACTACTTTTGCCCTATCGTCAATATGATATATGTAAAGAAAACCTTTCATATTTCTTACCCACTAATCCTAGAATCACTGAGTGGTTTGTTTTGGAAGGGACCTTAAAGCTCACCCAGTTCCAACCCCCTGCCACGGGCAGGGACACCTTCCACTAGAGCAGGTTGCTCCAAGCCCCTGTGCCCAACCTGCCCTTGAACACTGCCAGGGATGGGGCAGCCACAGCTTCTCTGGGCACCCTGTGCCAGCGCCTCAGCACCCTCCCAGGGAAGAGCTTCTGCCTCAGAGCTCATCTCAATCTCCCCTCTGGCAGGTTCAAGCCATTGCCCTTGTCCTGTCCCTACAGGCCCTTGTCCAAAGCGCCTCTCCAGGTTTCTTGTAGTAAAGTAAAATTAAGTGGAACATGAAAATGAATGGTGCAACAGTTCTGAGAGAACTCCAGCCAATCATAGTTTTCTCTTCGTGTCTTGAGTATCTACAAGCCTATTCACGTCTCATTCCACTGCAAGTAGTATTTCCACAGCCAGAAACTGGCCAGAACAGATTACCTCAACTGCCCATCAAATGCAACATTGTCTCCTTCACATTGACAGCAACATGTAACACTCAATGGAAAAGGAATGGGTTTCCAGGAGCTGTTCTTGAGAATGGAGACTTTCAGTACAGTCACAGTTACTGCTGGATTCTAGTGACATCCTGCCTCTGAGGCATCAACCAACTTCAGCAACCTTGTAACAAACTAATTGAACCATTTGAAACACTTCTGAACAGAGAGAAAAGTGTCTTGAAGTCCTGCCTACCCAGGAAAAGACACAGAGTAAATTACAAAGCCCCGTAAACATACAGAGTATGAGAAAGACACCTTTACTTTGGAGATGTAAAAGTTGTGAAAGAAAAAAAAGAATATACCAGTTCCTATTAATGACTGGTTTGGTGCATGGTTGCCCAGAGTTCCTGGTAAGTACTTCATTTTCCCTTTAGTTTGGAAGAGATGAAAGATGAAACATGGCTAGTCTGGAGACATAAAATTTGAGAAAGAAAACAGGCAAATTAATGCCATATTTTAAGTGGACCTTGGAAACAGTCCAGAGAAAAATGTTCAATTAACATTGGGTAGGAAAAAAAAAAAGTGCCAACAGGGTGTGCACCAGAATGACATCTGTTCTTAACGTGAGCTTTACGAACTCCCAGGCAAAAAAAAAACCCACTTTAACAAGATATACGTAAAAGTCAGCAAGCAGCTCGTAGTTTGAAAGTGCTCTTTCACTGAGTTGAGAACTCTTTTTAACATGCGTGGTTGGTTTTCAGTAGACCCTCAAGGAACAAGGCACAGACAATGGCGGGTACCTCAAGAGGAACCACTAATAAGGGAACAAAAGGTAAAAAACATTACCACATGAGCCTCACACAAGAGTGACTGATAATCCATGTTTCCTCAGCTTCCTCAGGTAATTAGGTATGACAGAGATGGGTAATATGGACCTAGACGACCATTAGGGAATGAACCTATTTTCTTAGACAGATAGATAGATTGCACACAAATATTTTTCTTTTGCACCAGTGAAACACTTCTGAAGGCAGAGTATGGTTTCAACAGAAAATGTACTGACCAACTTCTAGATACTCCCGTGGGAAGGAAAAAATTAACACTGGCTGACTTTTCCAGGTAACTAACAAATGAGGGAAAAGTTCCTCTTACAACATTTGAAATAATTTGTTCACTTACCTTCTCTAGGCTTAGCTGCCTTCCTAAACAAATTATCATCGTACAAGAGACAGAACCTGCATGCTGCACGGCAGACATCCCACACTTCTTGCTTACGTGCAACTTTAGCCAAATCTGCCCAAAGTCTAATTCTACCAACGAAAAAGCATACATAAAATTACTTCATAAGCAGGATCAACAAGAACATCTTGTCAGTAATGATGGCGATCATCAATAGAATATTAAGTCTAATAAAAAATAATGGAAGACTTCTCATCAGTAGGGAAGATAACACTATAACTTTATTAATTAAAAAAAAAAAAAATCCCTTCAGCATAGGAAGAGTGGGTCAAAATTCTTGCTTTGGATAGTAACTATACTGAAATTTCAAAACATGTGTAACACCCCTATTACTTATCTTGTAAAATAAACTAAATATTTCAAAACTGATGTTGAGAATTTCAGAATAAGTCTTGAAAACAAGTTTGGATTTAGTATTTTTTAGAAAACAATTTTACATTTCCTCACAGGATTTTTTTTTTTTTTTTTTTGGGGGGGGGGAAGCGGAGAAGCAGCGAAACATCTCCTTTTAAATCAAGAATGATAAAACAAAACCTTTGATTTTCCTATGGATTAATCTTCCTGACTTAGAATGGGCTACTTCATTTCTTTACCAAAATGGTTGTGGCATGGGATGTGGCACAAGGACCTAAAACTGCAGCAAACTTTCAGGTTTTCTTCAAGTTATTGTCTTCCAGCCTTAACCCACTCATTTTCTGTGTGTTCAGTTCATACCTATAGGTGCTTGTGTGCATGCGAGAGAGATTAGAAGCAGCAGCAGAATAGTTACACAGAGCATGTGAACATAACGGAACTTTTCAGACAAAATTAAACACATGCTTAAATGCTTTGCCAGCTCTGACTCAAGTATTCATGCTCTTACAAGGTGCCATCAAGTAACTGAACAGCTGCAGCAAGAAACTTTCCAGTTACACATTTCTACACAGGGTGAAAGAGGTGCTTCTTGACTATAGGAATTACCTCTCTCTGTTGTTTCCACTTCTCAGATGTTTCAAATGTTCATCAACTTTCTGCACACTTTTAATATGATGTTGTGCTTTAGCACAGAGGTAGCTTATTTGACTCCTACTTTCACCTGAGGAAACTTAGCAAAGACAAACGAATTTGAGGTAAATTTTACGTAGAAGATATTAAAAAATCCATATGAAGGATACGTATTTTGATTCATAACTGGTTTCTGAAACACACAAAATCCAGTACTTTTTAAAGCTCTTCCACCTTCCCCCAAACCAACCAACTTGAAAAACACCCCAACAGCATGTATTCTGGTTTTTCTGTATGTTCAGATATAGTTGTCCCATACAAAAACTGATTTATCCTTGTTTGGCCCCCAAGTACCTAAGCACACCTCTTTTCTGACAGGACATGCATTGCTCTAATTAGCCTCAGTCAGGAGTAAACAGATGCTGAATTTTAAGTACACTTACCTGATCAAACGCATTTTCAATCAATATTAAAGTTCATTGTTCTGTTTTAGTTTGAGAATACTGACTTCTGGTTTACTTCATCAACAAGATACTGGGCAAAAGTATTAAACAAAGATATTACCAACACAAAATAATGATGCAAGGGAGGAAGAAGCTGGCTCCCTGAGGTAGAAAATTACTTCAGTGGTACAGATACATCAAAAGATTGTATTTATATTTTTTTTTTTTTTTTTTTTTTTTTGCATCTGATGACATAGAGGAGATAGTTTGCATAAGAACACAAGTAACTTTGATGTGACTGGGAAATCCAATGAGTTTGGACATTCACTCAAATCTACGAGATGGTCCCTAGCACGATGCAGGCTGAGTAAGTTTTAAGTTTTAACTTCATCCTCAAAAAAGTCACCAAATAATAGCAGAAAATACATACAAAGTATTTCTGGCTTTAATATATGTATCTGCAGGTTCACTTGCACTCATTTACAATGAAAAGAGGAAGGTGCAATGTTTTGCCATTCTTGCTAAAAATGTCTTGCAATGATTTATGTAGCATATAAGGCTGTGATACACACAGATCAACTGACAGACAACGTTCAGTACAACGCACAATGACAATAATATAGTGTAAGGTTTTAGGGCAAAGAATTGTGGATTAAAAAAGTACATTTTTCTCAGGATCTGGGGGTACAACTCTCCCTAAATTAGGCCAGCACATACATCAGCAAAGAATGAAATGGTGATTTACAGTTATTTATGCAACTTAAAAGAAAAAAAAAAACAACAACAAAACACCTGCATATTTTAAAAATACAAGTGGTATATATATTTTCTTACTCCTTCAATAAACATGTTTCAGCTTGTTGTAACTTACGTGTAACTTAAGTGGGTTTCAACTTAAACAGGGGAAGTTCAGGCTGGATATAAGGAGGAAGTTCTTTACTGTGAGGGTGGTGAGGCGCTGCAACAAGTTGCCCAGAGAAGTCATAAATGCTCCATTGCTGGCAGTGTTCAAGGCCAGGTTGGACAGAGGGTTACATGGTCTAGTGTGAGGCACCCCTGCCCATGGCAGGGGGTTGGAACTAGGTGATCTTAAGGTCCCTTCCAACCCAAACCATTCTATGATTCTAAGTGTTACAGAAAGATCAAAAAACATTCTTTAGATGACAGCCTCAGGAACACCTGAAATCTTTCAAAACAAAATCTTGCAAAACATTGTCTCACATAGGAATATTTTGATAATAGCTGCTTTGGAAGCTACAGGACTCCTCCTGGAGCATTCCGTCCTCCAGTATTCTCTCTATGCTAGGAGTACATGGGGTATCTTCAGGAAGTTAAGTAAGTCACACACTTGCTATGTTACCAAGATAAGATAAAACAGTTCAAGCAATCTGGAACATCTGTTCCTTGTCCACTCTTCTTCAACAACAAACTGTATAGTCATGAACTGAAGCAGTTGGTGGCATAAGGAACATGCCTATTTATGATCCGTGTTTTAGAAAGTAATTAGTTCATGCCTAGATCTCCATGCAAAACTTGATCTCTCAAAAGCAAGACTTTAGACTAGAAAAACATTCACAATATAGAATAAATACCCAATATTGTATGTAATTAACACAGAATACTATGGGGTGAACTTTGGAAAGTAATGCTTAAAACTGACCTTGGGTAAGAACATTCAGGAGTGGCACACAGTGAAAATAAAATTACAGCACAATTTACAGCACAACAATAAGATTCAGATTAATTCAGAGGGGAAGACAACAACATTTCCTCTCCCAGTCTCACAATATAAGTCTCGGATCCCTACTGAAATCAACAGGAGCTTTGCCACAGAATTCAGCAGAACTGTCACTTCACCTGTATTGCAATATTCTCTACATATTGCCAGTAGATGTTATGCCCAACCTTTAAGACTGTGCAAAGCTGTCAATGCCAAGTGCAGTGACTTTTACTCACATGTATGTACATTACCTTTAGTTTCATTTTCACTGTCAAGCACTATCTGAAATGAATCAGGAGCTAGTGCAAGACCTGCATTTACCAGCAGGGATCTCTTTTGCCTCACATTATCTTGCTGCTTTCCCCTTTTAACCTACATAAAGAAAAGAAATAATTGTTACAAGGTTCGTTTTTATTATATCCCTATTTGTATATCTTATTTATTAAACATAACAGAATGCAGATAGTATAACTTCCTACTAACAAAAAATACCTATAGGAATTTTGTATCTTCGTAGATCTTACACATCATTCTGCAACATTATTGTTGTTGAAAGTGACTGTAGAACTTTGATTCGATCTTGTCATGAACACATCAAAGATTACTGAATACAAAGTACAATTCATGCTCTTCATGGACCTTTACAGTATATTCCTCAGTGTATAACCTGTCATGTTATACCTTCTTAAATAAAGAACAGTATTTATTTAGAAACCAACAGTAACATATTCATTATGCAGCAACTAGGAATTGCTACAAAAGACCAAGAATTCCCTAGTCCGTCAGAATTAGCTAAAGTTAGAGGTGGCGTAAGAGCTTTTTTGTTTTTTAAATAACCTTTAAACAGAGTAACCTTGCTTGAAAATGGCATTAAAACTAGACAAAAATCTTCACTTTTCTTTGTCTTAACAATAGACATATCCACTCACCAGCAACTTTCCAGTACTGATTTTAAGTTCAGTGAACACATGTTAATTTCTGTGAATATTTCAAAATGGGGTATAGATGAAAATTCTTTTTGACAACAATCAGTTGCCAACACGATTTTTGTTCAGGTGCTGAGGCATCACAAGGGAATTACATGCAATAACCCTTGACAATGACTACACTGTGATTTTAAATTATATTAATTATATTATTTATGATTTTGTT